GAAGAAACATTTGGTGGATAAATAGTAGCAGTATTAGTAAAGTCTGATAGTTGTATTTTACTGAGCGGTAACCTGCTAAGATTAGGAAACATCCTACTGACGTAGTGGAGATTAAATAAGTAGATTAAGGAATTATCCACAACGTTTTCTTTTCATCCACTTCTGTCATTGCAGTTTTTAATTTTCTGAGCTATACTGCTCAACACTGCCCCCATAATTTCCGCTGGTACTGCTCCATTAAATGCATCGGGGTATGCGCTCCCAAAACTCTCAAAACCATACGAAACTCTGCACATAAGAAACGCAGAGGACGGACTTAAAGGCTCCGTAATCGTACGTGAGGTTTAAGACACGCAAAAATAATTATTCATTCAAGCTGGCGCAGGTTTGTGTCATTTTTATGAACACCACCATTAAAATGATCTTGTCCATCTTGACGTACATTTGACCGATAGCATTTTGATGCTAATCCAAAGTCTGTTCACTACTGTTGTGTTTTCTTCTGACCTGCTCAGGAGGGCGGCGACAAAACAAAGGGTGATCCAATGGATCTCCGATTGGATATAGAAAGACGTAAAAAATATTCCACCCATGAACGGGACTGTAATGCGGAGCAGGGAGGAGAAATGGAAGATTCCCAAAGCTCCAAGGAAAGGTTCTCCAAGTGCCACAAAAAATCAGAGTAGGTGAAAATGTTCTAAGAGTCTGTTTTTTTTTTCTTTTCTCAAAATGGCTGTGGTTTAAACGACTAAACGTTTTAATTTTACAGACGAAGTAAGAAGAAGCGTTCGCGTTCGAGCTCATCTTCATCTTCCTCATCGAGGACCTCCCACCAAGAAGGTTCACCAAGGAATAAATTTGATCCCAAAGATGAAGATCAGGGCGAGTCTTCAGGGTCTAAAAGAGAAAAACCACGTGAAGGATTTGTAAGTTCTCTCTACTGTTTTTAAGAGTTTAGGTGAAAGAATCGTGTCGGGTTTTACTCCAGGAATCTGATTTCTTTCATCTTCTATTTTTTTCCAGCAATTACGAATTCGTGGAAAGGCCTGGAACAGGGGCAACTGTGAGGGCAACAGTTCACACAACTCCATAAACATGACAGGGAATCAAAACAGTGGAGACTGGGAACCGGAATACACTCAGAAAAGCAAACAGTACTACTTGGTAGAACTCACTTGTTTCCTTTCATTACTTAAATTCATGACAAAAATCTGAGTCACTTCAAACACGTTTGTCTCTAATCCTGATTGTTCTGATCTTCTCAGCACGACGACAGAGAGGACGACGCCGAGCACAGGTGGACGGGCATCCGAGGGCGGGGACGAGGAAACGCCTTACGTGGGAGGACACGATTTATTATTCGCAAGGCCACTGGGAGCACCACCAGCAACAGCCCCCGGTGGGCACATGACAAGTTCCAGGCCAATGGGGAGCAAGGTGATGGACACCAAACAGCGCAAGGACAGAACCACAACAAGGCAGACGTTGACGTGGACGAGTCGATAACAGTCGTTAACAGTCGTTAACAGTCGTTAACAGTCGATAACAGTCGATAACATGAATCAGAGAACTGTTGAAGTCTTCATAGGTCTAAATTTTATTTTTCGTGAATTCACAGAAAATATGTCTTCTTAAAAAAAAAAGAATTACCGTATTTTCCGGACTGTAAGTCACTCCGGAGTATAAATCGCACCAGTGCCCTCTAGTGGCTGTCAGTATGAAAATAACGAACATGTACATTTTCAGTGATACAGTAGTAGCAGACACTGGTTCACAAGCCTAGAGTGCCCTCTAGCAGCTGTCAGTGCGAGAATAACAAACGTGAAATTATATATTTTTATATATAAGTCGCACGTGAGTATAAGTCGTAAACTCAGCCAAAGGATGAAAAAAAGTATGACTTATAGTCCGGAAAATACCGTAACAGTGGTTTCTGATTTCTTTTTTCTGTGGCGCCCCCTATGTACAAATACCTCCTGGACTTCATTTTAAACACTATATTTTAAAAAACAATTGATTTTACTGTTTCAAAAAAAAAAACTCATATCGTTGCAATAACCCCACTGTGGAACAAAAAGAAAATATTCGATTGGAGTTCTACTTGTCACGCCCCCTATTTTAAGAACCACTGTTCTAAGTAATGTTTACCGTCACATTCTGCAGTAACTTTGACTTTTTCGTAAAACGAAACAGACCTGACGTCGTGAAGCAAAACTCGTCTGAACTTAAAGGGGACATGTCCTGTGTACGACTTTGGTTAGTCGATGGAGTAACATCAAAGTAATGTTGAAGTAACAGCTACAGTACTAACCACTGATCTTTCTTTACCCTCCACTTTCTTCTTCTTCTGGCTCTGACTCTGGATGAAACATAAACAGTTGGGCCACCGTTGATTGTCTAGTGTCCTGACATTTTACCATACGTGGTAGAACGTCATACACTCCCTTACTGAGTATGCTCACAAAGGACAAAATTGCTTGATTGCGGACCCCTGTCAGAATCTTACTGCTGAGTTGTTCCCAGGGTTACGTGAAGCTGTCCTCAGATCTTTCACCCTGTTGAAGGGGGGCGGAGCCTGCTGCAGCTCATTACCATTTAAAGGTAAAGGCACAGAGATGTTCAGGAAAGGGTTCTATGTTTTTTTTTTGTTGTTGACCAAAGTATGTTACTAACATCACTAACAGACGTCTTCTTCATCGTCTTCTTTTAGCTTCTCCCTCCAGGGGTCGCCACAGTCTCCATCTCACCCTATGTCCCGCCCCCTCTGCTCTTACGCCCTCCATCTCCATGTCCTCTTTCCATAAACCTTCTCTGGTTGTCTCCTCTTACACGGCAGCTCCACCTAACCAACATCTTCGTCCATCATCTCCAGTCTCTCTCCTCACCTCATGTCCAACCCTCCCCCACCTCACCTCTCTAACTTTATCTCTAAACACGTCCACCTTAACTGATCCGTCCATCCTGGTCAGTCCCAGTGAAGATCTCAGCATCTTCACCTCCTCCACCTTCAGCTCAGCTTCTTGTCCTTCAGACAGAGACACTGTCTCTAAACCATACATCATAGCAGCGCTCACTGCTGTCTTATAAACCTGACATTTGAACTTTGCTGCTTTTCATTCAAACCTCATGGAAACATATTCATTTCCATTGAAGTGACATGATATGTCCCCTTTAACAGACAGCACTAAATACACTGTACATATTAAATCAGCTGACTCAGCAGGCTGCGTGACCCTGATCTGACGGTGGGACCAAAATCTACAGGGTCAAAGGCCAAGCTCTGCTGTCCTTGGTTCCACAGTGGAACCACTGGCTGAAGACGAGCGCGAGTGTCGTCTCTGTAGGTTCTTTAATACCAGCGGGCAGTGACGACGGGGAACTGGTGAACTTTTGACATGAATGTTTTGATCTCTTCGAGGTTTTCAGTCTTCACAGGATCAAAGCAGCGTGCTGTGTAAACTTTTATTGTTACCTTTTTTTTTTTTTTAATACAAATTTTAATCTGCACTGGAATAAAAGCTGCAATTCAGCTCATCCTTCCTTCTGAAGTACCTCTGCGCCGGCCTCTAGGGGGTGCATTCTCTCAATAATGGAGCGTCAGAGGCTGCGTTTGGGTTCTCACTACACCAGAAATTCTGCTTTAATTCTGTGAAGTGCGGCCGTTTGTCTGATCCGTACCACTAATTATTTTATTCTGTCAGTGTCGTTTTTCTTCTTCTTCTTCTCCACAGACATTCAGTGTAGGTTTGACTCCGCAGTGTGAAGGTAGACGTGTCGTGACTTAAGTCTGTTGTGGTGGATTCTTACTGTATGTGATTTGCGTTTCATAAAATTACCGATGTTTTTTGTCACCCATGTGATGTGCGTCCTACGTTGTGTTAGTCAAGTCTGCGGGGTAGTCGTCACGTAGAAAATACACAGGTGTATTATTTGGAGACATGTTTTCACAAGTTTTCACAGAACGTCTCACTTCTGCTTCTGCACAACACTTTTTTTTTCCTGTATTTTTTATTTTGGCAGTTTGTGCCTCACCACGGATACTTCTGTTACTGCAATACCAGCCTGTAGGTAGTAGTCGATCGATGATGAGCTGAGTATATAATGTGTGTTTTGATTTTTTTTTTCTTAGTAAATGTAAATTAAAGAGATAAAGATTTTAGTGATGTTTGCTCTGATGTGTCTTTATCACGTAATTGTTTGACAATTTCTGCACCAATGTTATAGACACCACGGAACCTTCTAGCATCAGCGTGTGTCTAACGCTCTTCGACGTCTTTCTACTCCTGAGTTTTGAAGGCTGACAATTTCACAATAAAAGTTTTTAAATACGAAGCCTAACTGAAATAACTTCTTCTAATTATTTTACACAATCCTGGTCTTTTTCTAATAGCAGCAAAACTCCAATTCATATGTATTTGATGGTCTCTGGGGAGGGGGGGTCCTGGGCTTTAAAGACATTGAGTCTGATAGTTCCATCAATCACCCATTCATGTTCAGGGGCTGCATGTGAAGCAGGGGCCAAGCCGAGCTGTCATTGGATGAAAAAAATCTCAATTTTTAAAGGCTCAAACCTTTGGGAAGTGGAAAACTGGCGACACATTTAACTTAATTATAAGTCGAGAAATAAAACAAGCCTTTAAACATTTAGATCTGCATGAAGTCCTGAAAGATAAAACCAGGATTACTGCACCCCTCTTCCTTTCCCCAAACAACAACAACAACAACAACAACAGACCCTCCGTTATTTATTAACCCTGGTTTAAAGCTGTTGTTGGACAAAGTCTTCTGCTCCTCGTCCTGCAAATATGTTTATTGTTTGTCCTTCATAAGTCACGATTAAAAACCTGTCTTACTCGTTCTCCGTCCTGCTCTCCCTCTCCCTCCCTCCCTCTCTCTCTCTTTCTCACTCTCTCGCTCTCTAACCCTTCCTACTTCTGGCTGTGGGCTTGTCATGACTGGCCTCAGGAAAACTAACTCAAATGTTAATGTCCGACAAATAGGAAGAAGAAGAAGAAGAAGGCTCTCGGCTGCTGCTGCTCCTGTTGTTCTGCTTTCGTCCACTTCTCTATTTGAACAGCTTGTCTGCTGCCTCTGACCCAAAGGAAAAGAAACAACTAATTATAGAAACAATGGGTGAGTCAGGATTTTTTCTTTACTTTAACAGAAACGCCAACGTAACTCCAGTCTTTTTCACGTCTGGGTTTTACTGTTCAGCCGAACAGAAGGGTTTCCCTGTAGAACCTGGAGCAGCACGTGCTGCTGAAACCCTGTTGAATTGATCGACTGTATTGTTAGGGAGACAACAATCCAGTCCTGAGGATAACCCTGTTGAATTGATCGACTGTATTGTTAGGGAGACAACAGTCCAGTCCTGAGGTGACTGACAGGTAAAAACTGACTGGAACACGTTCTGTCTTTCTGCTGAAACACTGTCACTGAAACACCATCACTGAAACACTGTCAGTGAAACACTGTCACTGAAACACCATCACTGAAACACTGTTACTGAAATACTATCAGTGAAACACTGTCAGTGAAACACTGTTACTGAAACACTGTTACTGAAATACTATCAGTGAAACACTGTAACTGAAACACACACTGTTACACTGTTACTGAAACACTGTAACAAACACTGTAACAAACACTGTAACTGAAACATTGTAACTCGTCCTTACCACTTTGTTTTGCTTGATTATAATCTGAGGAAACACCAGGAGTGAGGGAATTCAACCAGCACTTGGTAATTTTATAAACACAGTCATAATTTTCTGCCTGTTCTATTGTCCTACTGCAGAGGTCCTGGCACTGATGGACTTTGAAGGCACCATGGCGGATGAGATAACGATCAGAGCCGGAGACATAGTCAAGAATGTAGCCAAGTCCAGTGAGGAGGGCTGGCTGGAGGGGGAGCTGCGGGGGAAGAGGGGCATCTTCCCCACCAACTTTGTCAAGGTATTTTAGTGTGTATAAGTACATGTCTGACTACATGTATTCATGTGTCTCTGTGTTTATATTATATACTTTGGACTCGACTCGGATTTTAACATCAGTGACTTCACTTGTACTTGTGCGTATTGATTTGAAAAAACTTTAATTTTGCTGTGTAGACAGACGCGTCAAAAACGAAAGAATAGTTTAATGCGCCCCGGAACGGTCAGCGGAACCGGCTGAATGACACCTGGTCAACGCCGGACACGAACTAGGGCGGAACTAATTCCGTCTTGTCAATCAGATCCTCCCCCATCCTCAAATTCGTTTGACATGTGGTACAAACGGTAAGTTCTAAATGAAACCTAACGTAATTGTTTTTTTTTTAACGGTGTAGTGAAATAAACAATAACAATAGATCATAAACAATGTTATGAGTCGGGGTTGCAGGAGGCAGTCGTATGTCATCCTAAAAAGAAAATCACATCAATTTAAATGCACGCTATATTAATATGTTCGCCATTTTATTTTTCTGACGGACTCAATTGGCGAGTTAAACAACAAGTTTAACATAAACAACAACACGTTTAACTTAAACAACAACAAGTTTAACTTAAACAACAACAACAAGTTTAACTTAAACAACAACAACAACAAGTTTAACTCGCGGCAAACGTGAGTTGCTGGTCCTCGTGCCTCCGTACTTTCTTGACGTAGTCAGGATTTTTTTTTTTTAAATTGCACTTGTTTTAATGAATAAATGCAGATTTAAAAAGCATAAATGAGCCGTGTAAACATATTGTTACTCAGTGGTTAAAAAGACTCGAAACTGAAGCTGCAGGACTTGTGACTTGTCAGTCTTTGACTTGGGACTTGAGGGCAAGGACTTGAGACTTACGTGTGACTTGCAAAACAATGATTTGATCCCACCTCTGTCTGTGATGATTTCTGTATGTGCGTTCAAATATCTGTGTTTGTGTATTTGTATTATCTCTGGTGTGTCTGTTATGTGTCTACAGGAGGTTCCAGTCTATTTGATTGGTGACAGTAAGAGGGAGCCACGGAGCATCAGAAAAAGTAGGGATGAATTATTGTCTTTTTTGTTTGCACACATTGTTGGAGATCTATTAACAGTCCGTTGTTGTCAGTTCTAGAATATTCTCCGTCTTCTTTTTGCTTCATTCTCAGCCACAGACTTGTTTCCACTTCTTTATTCTAAAAGTATATTTTCAACATTGTTTTCATTTTGTTTTTAACTACAGTAAACTCACATTTATGGGTAAAACTTTAAGGTGTTTCCAGGTGAAAATGTGCATATTTTCTTGCAATATTGTGTTTGAAACAAACCGTGAGCTTTCTCCTCGAAACCAAATATATACAAAAAGGGATCCAATGACAGAACTACAAATCAGCAGCTTGGACTTGGAGTTTTTTTTCTACTAAACACTTCATTGTTTTTACAGCAAAGAGGATTAAACAGAGCAGGAAATGTGAAGTGATTTTTGCCTATGCTCCTCTGAACGAAGACGAGCTGGAGCTCGTTGTGGGTGAAACCCTGGAGGTCATCAAAGAGGTACATTCATTTATTTATTTATTGTTCAAAACACGACCCAGCCTGCTGTTCTGATCTGATCTAATCTGTTGCCTGAAGATAAGGAATGTTGAGTGTTGTGTAATACTGGTTCCACGGCTGGACAAAGAAGAACTGTTTTATTAACCTGCACAACAACAGTTCCATCAAGTCACAGAGTAGTTAAAACAGTTGAGTCGGAGAACAAACCTGCTGAAAGAAAGTTGTTTGTTCTTGTAAGAACCGTTGTCATGTTTGGTGTTTTCGTCGTCAGGAGAGAAACGAGATCTCACAGTGAACCAGATTAGGTTCCGTGATAACGTTCTCTCTGAGACCTTTCTCTTTCTTTTTCTCTCATCTACCCCCCTCCCTCCCCCTCTCTCTCTCTGTCTCTCTCTGTCTCTCTCTCTGTCTCTCTTTCTCTCTACCGGCAGATTGAAGACGGATGGTGGATGGGAATGAGAAACGGGAAGATCGGAGCCTTTCCTTCAAATTTTGTCAAAGAAATCTTTGTTGCTCCCAAAGGTATGGAGTTAAATATTCTAAACGTGTCAATGATTAATGGTAAGTCAAAAAGTTCCAAGACTAAATGGTGTCTGATGTTCAGGACTGAAATCTGTTCAGAATTCTGGTCTCTGTGTCTCCAGACCAGTTTTATCATCAGGTCTTCTCTCCATCATGTGTCAGTCTGAAAGTCAAAGACAAAAATAAATCTTTCCTCCAGTGTGTGTGAATAATGCACTCTGAGCCTGTTGAATATACTTTATATATATTTAACATATAAGTATATAATTACATGTATATATTTATATGTTAAATGTATATATTTAACAGGTTCAGCATGTGTTATATAAATATATATATATATTTTAAAACACACGTAGAGAAACAGATTTGTTTTTGACTCACCCTCCTTAAATCTCCAGCCAACAGATAAGGAAATGATGACGTAATGAACTTGGGTCATGATTTATACTGTGTTTTTTACAGACAACAAACACAGTGAGGCCAAAGCACGACCCAAACTCACGGACGCAGTGTTTTGTAAAGAGGTACACACAAAACATAAAAACATAAAAAAAAAACCAAAACAATTCTGCTAAATATAAAAATAAAAAAAGTGTTTTCTTATTCTAACGTTCTTTTTCTTGATCTTAAAAAAAAAAGTGTTTTCTTATTCTAACTTTCTTTTTCTTGATCTTGACTAAGATTACTCAGCGAACGAGTCTGAGGAACAAGGGGAGTAAAGGTCAGTGTGTGTTAAACGTGGGTGCAGCTGTAGGTGAGTCTGGACTAGGATGTGGACTCGTCCTGATCCAGGTCTTTCCCTCCACAGTGCTGGAGTGTTGCCAGGTCATGTTCGACTACAAGGCCAAAGCAGACGACGAGCTGGAGCTGAAGAAGGGAGACGTCGTCGTGCTCCTCAGAAAGGTTGGAGAACTTTCTCTGATGATGTCACGCCTCCACAGACTTTAGCTCCCCCAGGTGCAGTTTTTGTTCCGATGAAGCCGTCGCAGGTGTCGCTCTGTTCACCCGGCTCGACCGGTTCTGTCGCCTTGGAGGAAATCGCTCCACTGATCGCAGTCAGCACGGAGGAGAGTTTGAAATGTTCTTAGAAGTTAAAACATTAAAAACAAAAACACACAGAGAAACTGAGTTTTTCAACAACATGAAAGAAAAGATCAAATGCTGGAGCTTGAAGGTACTTTTGAACCTTAGTTTCAGAACCCAACCTTCCTACTTTTATATGTGGTTTTATTTGGAATTCAAAACAATCCGAAATCTTATCGTTCGAAGGACAAAGGTTGGTTCTGAGGGCGGCTACAAAATATTTATTACGGTTAACCGGTTTATTTAACGGTTCTCTGGTTGACCATTAACTGACCAGTCAGCTGTTGTTGAGCCGTGTCTGAGCGTCCACAGCAAAGTGACTGTGATCTGTGTCTGCAGGAAACAGAGGATGAAGGCTGGTGGGAGGGAGAGCTGAACGGACGCTGTGGCTTCTTCCCTGATAACTTTGTCATGGTGATACCGCCGATGGACAGTCTTCAAGTGAGTCTTGTCTTCAGAATATACGGAAGGAAGAAGATCAGGGTCCAAGAACAAACACATTTGATGGATTTTATTCTAATCTCATTCAATGAAAAATATTTAATTTAAATTATGATTCCTATAATTATATGTAAGTTGTTTCCTTGAGTCTTATGGCACTACAGAAGTGTCTGTAATTTTTTTTTTAACTTAGAGGGTGTTGTTATTGCAGGAACACTCATCCTCCTTCAAGGAATTACGCACTGGAAATTCCCAGAGTGGAAAGAGTTTGTAGAACAGGAATGCTTTTCATGCAGCGTGTTGACTTCTCTTTTTTTCTCCTCCTGCAGTCTGGGACCAAAAGTCAGCCACCTGTTCGCAACGTCACCAACAAACCTCCAGGTAGGACCGCAGCAGGTACTGATATTTAAATCCCCTCTTCCTGGGGTCTTGTATTTATTATTTTAATTTAATTTAATTTTCCTTGCTGCACCCTGGTCTTGCAGCGTCTGATCTCAGTCCTCCGTCTCCAAGGGCGACTTTTCTAAAAAAAAATTTAGAGAAAGTTTAAAAGTTTAAAAATGTTCATTTTGTTGTTTAGTAAACCTTGTTAGTTCGTAAAAGAGGAAGCGAGGATGTGCAAAGGCAGCCCGGCAACTGCACATTGCAGGATGTGGCTGAGGGTTTGTGCACAGCCTGGTCTCAGCTGTGCAGCAGTCAGTGCTGCAAGATGCAAATTTGCCAAAAATCAGCAACAGACCTGTCGCTTTGTCATTTCAGGTCTTCCTGCAGAGTCAGAAAATTTAGTCGTTGTTCTGTTTGATGTCAAACAGACGGTTAAACACTGTTGACTTAAAATGTTGACTTTGTTTTTTATGTTTTTGTGTACCACCCACGGCATCTCTCAGGAGAATTCTCTCAGGAAGTCTCAGGCTGTACTCAAATGGGGGGAGGAGGTGGGGGTGGGGGGTTAAATGGATCATGTGGTTAAGGAGTCTCAGAGGAAATGTGTTCTGGTGAGGAAGAGTGCAGTTCTCTGTCACTCTGTCAGACTTTCACAACCACAGACTGGGCAACACTCGAGCCGACGCAGCTGCGTTGACTTGGTTTTTATTTTTTTGTGGAAATGTTACACAATGCTGTGAAAAGTCAAGGTAGGTTCTATCCTGTTGGTATTCTGTCTATTTTTGCTGGTTTTTCTGCGGTCAAACGTGATTTCATTGTTTTACATCAGGATTTGAATAAACAAGCAAACACTGTCAACCAATCAGCAGCTGTTACAGCACACCTGTGATTTCTACTTCGGTGCTTTCAGTTTACTTTTCAATAATAATCTGTTTTTTATTTCCAATCTACGACAAAGTCTGAAGGACACTGAAAAAATAAAAAGATAAAATAAATTATAGATTATTTTATTTTTAAAAATACCAACCTTTACTTATTTTTTAGGACATTAGTCTAAAAAAATAAACTGTTTTGTTTATATTTACGGCTTTTTACTTTTAATATTCATTCTGTTAATTTTATGATTTCATTTTTGTAAATGTATTAATTTGTTAATGTAATAATTCATTTTTTAAATTAATGATGTATTTCACATATGATGTAAATTCACATATAATTACTATTATTCAAATACATTTATTACTTGTTTACACATGTTCATACATTCACATAAATAAATTTTTTACTCTTAAAAGTTTGTTCTCTTTAAGACAATGTTTTTCTAAATATGAAACTTGATATTTTTATATACTTTGTTCTATTCTGAATTATATATTTGTACTATTTCTATTTTGTACTCAATGTGGCAGTAATAGTACAATGAAAAAAAATTTATAAACATGAAAATACAGGACTCCATCAAATGTAATGCTGGGTTAATATGAAGTAAACATTTAAAATACAAAAATGTATTTATACATTAAAATATATATATATTTTTAAAATAGATTTTAATTTAGTGATGGTGACAGTTTTCTTCTTTTGTTTAGTGAACAGAGTCAACAGTGATGGGGGTGAGGAGGGCAGCAAAGTTCCATGGTTTAAATATCACTATTGAAAAATCAGTTGTTTTCCTTAAAACTGCAAAAACAAATAATTCATTTGATATTTATGTATGTTTAATTTATTATTAATATTATTATTTACAGATGATAAACCAGAGGCCAAGGACCTGAGGACCAATCCTCCGACCAAGGTGAAGTTGCCAGTGATCAGCCGGCCCAGCCCACCTCCAGTCAAAGAAAAACCCAACAGGGTTTCACCCCAGTAAGTTCTCCCGACACAGCTGTGGTGCTCGGTCTTTTTCCATCAAAGGTGCCAACCTGTACGCATTTTGACACCCAAATCACACTGCACTGTACCAACACCCCCTGAACCTTGCTGCGGGTGGTGAGTCCACTGGAAGGTACCAACCGCCCCAACCGACATTCGATCTTGCCCAGGGGGTGAACTATAGTAGAACATTATAGCAATAATTTCCTGAACAAATCTCCAAAAAAAAAGTTTCTCAAAAATGACTAAAAATACACTCATTTGCCTTAAAATACTTAGCTATGTCCATTTTTGTGGTTAAAATTGAGAAAAAATCAACTTTTTTGGGAAGCCAACTTTTGATCACAGTAGAACACTATAGCAATAATTTCCTGAACAAATCTCCAAAAAAAAAAGTTTCTCAAAAATGACTAAAAATACACTAATTTTCCTTAAAATACTTAGCTATGTCCATTTCTGTGGTTAAAATTGAGAAAAATTCAACTTTTTTGGGAAGCCAACTTTTGATCACAGTAGAACACTATAGCAATAATTTCCTGAACAAATCTCCAAAAAAAAAGTTTCTCAAAAATGACTAAAAATACACTAATTTTCCTTAAAATACTTAGCTATGTCCATTTCTGTTGTTAAAATTGAGAAAAAATCAACTTTTTTGGGAAGCCAACTTTTGATCACAGTAGCACACTATAGCAATAATTTCCTGAACAAATCTCCAAAAAAAAAGTTTCTCAAAAATGACTAAAAATACACTAATTTGCCTTAAAATACTTAGCTATGTCCATTTTTGTGGTTAAAATTGAGAAAAAATCAACTTTTTTGGGAAGCCAACTTTTGATCACAGTAGAACACTATAGCAATAATTTCCTGAACAAATCTCCAAAAAAAAAGTTTCTCAAAAATGACTAAAAATACACTAATTTGCCTTAAAATACTTAGCTATGTCCATTTTTGTGGTTAAAATTGAGAAAAAATCAACTTTTTTGGGAAGCCAACTTTTGATCACAGTAGAACACTATAGCAATAATTTCCTGAACAAATCTCCAAAAAAAAAGTTTCTCAAAAATGACTAAAAATACACTAATTTGCCTTAAAATACTTAGCTATGTCCATTTTTGTGGTTAAAATTGAGAAAAAATCAACTTTTTTGGGAAGCCAACTTTTGATCACAGTAGAACACTATAGCAATAATTTCCTGAACAAATCTCCAAAAAAAAAGTTTCTCAAAAATGACTAAAAATACACTAATTTTCCTTAAAATACTTAGCTATGTCCATTTTTGTGGTTAAAATTGAGAAAAAATCAACTTTTTTGGGAAGCCAACTTTTGATCACAGTAGAACACTATAGCAATAATTTCCTGAACAAATCTCCAAAAAAAAAGTTTCTCAAAAATGACTAAAAATACACTAATTTGCCTTAAAATACTTAGCTATGTCCATTTTTGTGGTTAAAATTGAGAAAAAATCAACTTTTTTGGGAAGCCAACTTTTGATCACAGTAGAACACTATAGCAATAATTTCCTGAACAAATCTCCAAAAAAAAAAGTTTCTCAAAAATGACTAAAAATACACTAATTTGCCTTAAAATACTTAGCTATGTCCATTTCTGTGGTTAAAATTGAGAAAAATTCAACTTTTTTGGGAAGCCAACTTTTGATCACAGTAGAACACTATAGCAATAATTTCCTGAACAAATCTCCAAAAAAAAAGTTTCTCAAAAATGACTAAAAATACACTAATTTGCCTTAAAATACTTAGCTATGTCCATTTTTGTGGTTAAAATTGAGAAAAAATCAACTTTTTTGGGAAGCCAACTTTTGATCACAGTAGAACACTATAGCAATAATTTCCTGAACAAATCTCCAAAAAAAAAGTTTCTCAAAAATGACTAAAAATACACTAATTTTCCTTAAAATACTTAGCTATGTCCATTTTTGTGGTTAAAATTGAGAAAAAATCAACTTTTTTGGGAAGCCAACTTTTGATCACAGTAGAACACTATAGCAATAATTTCCTGAACAAATCTCCAAAAAAAAAGTTTCTCAAAAATGACTAAAAATACCCTCATTTGCCTTAAAATACTTAGCTATGTCCATTTTTGTGGTTAAAATTGAGAAAAAATCAACTTTTTTGGGAAGCCAACTTTTGATCACAGTAGCACACTATAGCAATAATTTCCTGAACAAATCTCCAAAAAAAAAGTTTCTCAAAAATGACTAAAAATACACTAATTTGCCTTAAAATACTTAGCTATGTCCATTTTTGTGGTTAAAATTGAGAAAAAATCAACTTTTTTGGGAAGCCAACTTTTGATCACAGTAGAACACTATAGCAATAATTTCCTGAACAAATCTCCAAAAAAAAAGTTTCTCAAAAATGACTAAAAATACACTAATTTGCCTTAAAATACTTAGCTATGTCCATTTTTGTGGTTAAAATTGAGAAAAAATCAACTTTTTTGGGAAGCCAACTTTTGATCACAGTAGAACACTATAGCAATAATTTCCTGAACAAATCTCCAAAAAAAAAGTTTCTCAAAAATGACTAAAAATACCCTCATTTGCCTTAAAATACTTAGCTATGTCCATTTTTGTGGTTAAAATTGAGAAAAAATCAACTTTTTTGGGAAGCCAACTTTTGATCACAGTAGAACACTATAGCAATAATTTCCTGAACAAATCTCCAAAAAAAAAGTTTCTCAAAAATGACTAAAAATACACTAATTTTCCTTAAAATACTTAGCTATGTCCATTTTTGTGGTTAAAATTGAGAAAAAATCAACTTTTTTGGGAAGCCAACTTTTGATCACAGTAGAACACTATAGCAATAATTTCCTGAACAAATCTCCAAAAAAAAAGTTTCTCAAAAATGACTAAAAATACACTAATTTGCCTTAAAATACTTAGCTATGTCCATTTTTGTGGTTAAAATTGAGAAAAAATCAACTTTTTTGGGAAGCCAACTTTTGATCACAGTAGAACACTATAGCAATAATTTCCTGAACAAATCTCCAAAAAAAAAGTTTCTCAAAAATGACTAAAAATACACTCATTTGCCTTAAAATACTTAGCTATGTCCATTTTTGTGGTTAAAATTGAGAAAAAATCAACTTTTTTGGGAAGCCAACTTTTGATCACAGTAGAACACTATAGCAATAATTTCCTGAACAAATCTCCAAAAAAAAAGTTTCTCAAAAATGACTAAAAATACCCTCATTTGCCTTAAAATACTTAGCTATGTCCATTTTTGTGGTTAAAATTGAGAAAAAATCAACTTTTTTGGGAAGCCAACTTTTGATCACAGTAGAACACTATAGCAATAATTTCCTGAACAAATCTCCAAAAAAAAAGTTTCTCAAAAATGACTAAAAATACACTAATTTTCCTTAAAATACTTAGCTATGTCCATTTTTGTGGTTAAAATTGAGAAAAAATCAACTTTTTTGGGAAGCCAACTTTTGATCACAGTAGAACACTATAGCAATAATTTCCTGAACAAATCTCCAAAAAAAAAGTTTCTCAAAAATGACTAAAAATACACTAATTTTCCTTAAAATACTTAGCTATGTCCATTTTTGTGGTTAAAATTGAGAAAAAATCAACTTTTTTGGGAAGCCAACTTTTGATCACAGTAGCACACTATAGCAATAATTTCCTGAACAAATCTCCAAAAAAAAAGTTTCTCAAAAATGACTAAAAATACACTCATTTGCCTTAAAATACTTAGCTATGTCCATTTTTGTGGTTAAAATTGAGAAAAAATCAACTTTTTTGGGAAGCCAACTTTTGATCACAGTAGAACACTATAGCAATAATTTCCTGAACAAATCTCCAAAAAAAAAGTTTCTCAAAAATGACTAAAAATACACTCATTTGCCTTAAAATACTTAGCTATGTCCATTTTTGTGGTTAAAATTGAGAAAAAATCAACTTTTTTGGGAAGCCAACTTTTGATCACAGTAGAACACTATAGCAATAATTTCCTGAACAAATCTCCAAAAAAAAAGTTTCTCAAAAATGACTAAAAATACCCTCATTTGCCTTAAAATACTTAGCTATGTCCATTTTTGTGGTTAAAATTGAGAAAAAATCAACTTTTTTGGGAAGCCAACTTTTGATCACAGTAGAACACTATAGCAATAATTTCCTGAACAAATCTCCAAAAAAAAAGTTTCTCAAAAATGACTAAAAATACACTAATTTTCCTTAAAATACTTAGCTATGTCCATTTTTGTGGTTAAAATTGAGAAAAAATCAACTTTTTTGGGAAGCCAACTTTTGATCACAGTAGAACACTATAGCAATAATTTCCTGAACAAATCTCCAAAAAAAAAGTTTCTCAAAAATGACTAAAAATACACTAATTTTCCTTAAAATACTTAGCTATGTCCATTTTTGTGGTTAAAATTGAGAAAAAATCAACTTTTTTGGGAAGCCAACTTTTGATCACAGTAGAACACTATAGCAATAATTTCCTGAACAAATCTCCAAAAAAAAAGTTTCTCAAAAATGACTAAAAATACACTCATTTGCCTTAAAATACTTAGCTATGTCCATTTTTGTGGTTAAAATTGAGAAAAAATCAACTTTTTTGGGAAGCCAACTTTTGATCACAGTAGAACACTATAGCAATAATTTCCTGAACAAATCTCCAAAAAAAAAGTTTCTCAAAAATGACTAAAAATACCCTCATTTGCCTTAAAATACTTAGCTATGTCCATTTTTGTGGTTAAAATTGAGAAAAAATCAACTTTTTTGGGAAGCCAACTTTTGATCACAGTAGAACACTATAGCAATAATTTCCTGAACAAATCTCCAAAAAAAAAGTTTCTCAAAAATGACTAAAAATACACTAATTTTCCTTAAAATACTTAGCTATGTCCATTTTTGTGGTTAAAATTGAGAAAAAATCAACTTTTTTGGGAAGCCAACTTTTGATCACAGTAGAACACTATAGCAATAATTTCCTGAACAAATCTCCAAAAAAAAAGTTTCT